GGAAGCCTAGTATCTTCTGATTGCTCGTATTTTAAACCGGAGGATGTTAAACCACTTCTCTTGGAAGGGAGGTCTCAGGATCTAGACGCCGGGGACAGTCATATGCTAGCAGCAGCACTCCGTGAGCTGGAAATCCATAGCTGTCTCCACATGGCCACCCCAGCCTCGGGAATGGTCCCGTAGGGCCCGGCCATCGGGCCCAGGGCCCTCTGGTCCCAAGCCCCAGACCACCGTCCTGCTAGACTCCAGACTCCTGCCACAGCCTCCCTCGACCGAGGGCCTAGCCCCGTCTTGAATGAGGCCATAACTCGTCACCACTGCCACCTTTTCCGCCCCCGGTTGTGACGCTCTCCTGCAGCTGGTGTCCCTGCTGCCACAGCCAGGCATTCTTAGGGCGCCTGCCGGCCTGGCACAGAGAACCTCTTTTGAAGGATGCCTCTTGTGTCAGCAGCCGGTCCACACGCCCCACCTGTCCCGAGCTGACCTGCTCCCACCGACCCCAGCCAGGGTGGTCAGTTTCTCTCAAGACTGGGTGCCTCGGTCCCCAAGACGCTGACCTCTAGGTGATTGTGGTGCCATTAGTCTCTCCCCTCCAACAAGAAACTCAAAACAGACTTGCCCAGGCCCCAGAGGGTGGAGCGTGGACAAGGAAGGTGATGGGGGCTCCAGGATGAAGAGACAGGGATTCAGAGCCCAGCCCCACCCTGACCTGCACTGTGACCTCCGAGGTCACCTGGTGCCTCAGCTTTCCATCTCTGAATTGGAGCAAGACATGGTGTTCCAGGGCCCATCTGGGAGACCATGCCTGGGAGCAGCAGATATGTTAGTGTCTTAGTCATCTAGTGCTGCTATAACAGAAATACCACAAGTGGATGGCTTTAACAAAGAGAAATTTATTCTCTCACAGTCTAGGAGGCTAGAAGTCCGAATTCAGGTGCCAGCTCCAGGGGAAGGCTTTCTGTCTCTGTCAGCTCCGGGGGAAGGTCTTTGTCATCAATCTTCCCCTGGTCTAGGGTCTTCTCCGCACAGGGACCCCGGGTCCAAAGAACATGCACTCTTGGCTCTACTTTCTTGATGGTGTGAGGTCCCCATGTCTCTCTGCTTGCTTCCCTTTTTTATATCTCAAGAGATTGACTTAAAACACAACCTAATCTTATAGATTGAGTCCTGCCTCATTGACATAACTGCCACTAGTCCTATCTTGCTAACATCACAGAGGTGGGATTTACAACACATGGGATAATCACATCAGATGACAAAATGGTGGACAGTCACACAGTACTGGGAATCAGGCCTAGCCAAGTTGACACACATTTTGGGAGAACACAGTTCAATCCATAGCAGTGTCCTTCCCCCGTGGCTGTCTCTTATCTGTTATAAGGACGCCAGTCGTGTAGGATTAGGCCCCACCCTACTCCTGTATGGCCTCATGTTAACTGACAACATCTCCAAGACCCTGTTTGCAGACAAGGTCACCTTGACAGGTTCCAGGGTTAGGACTTTAATATGTCATTTGAGGGGGAGACACAACTCGACCCATAACAGTTGAGAAATGCATCCTGGATTCCATGGTGCTGCACACGTACTCGTTATACAAGCTAGAAGGTTAGTTTCACAAGAGGAACCCAAAATACCAACCCTGTTGCCATCAAGTCCATTCTGACTCCTAGCGACTCTTTGTGACATAGTAGAACGGCCCCATAGGGTTTCCTAAGCTGTAATCTTTACGGAAGCAGATTACTAGGTCTTTCTCCCACAGAGGAGCTGAGTGGGTTTGAACCACCGACCTTTCGGTTAGCAGCCAAGTGCTTTAACCATTGGGCCACGGGCTCCCTTCACGAGAGGTGAGGAGCCTTTTCCTCTAAGAGCGGGAGAAGAGGAGCCATGGCGTGTGTTCAGTCACGATGGAGCCACACAGGGAAGCTTGTAGCCTGATCTCTGCCATAGGTGTAACCACTGTCCTGGCTCTACAGGACACTGAGCCATCTGTGTGGGCACTGCAGGTGAGGGACAGAGGGTGCACAGGTGTTTGCAGCGCGCCGTGTCAGGTAGAAGGAAAGGTACCAAGATGCTGAATCTCCACAGCTAACGTCAGGGCCGTACCGTTGTTGAAAGGGTGTTCCAGCCGCATTTGCGAGCCAGGCTCCGTCCACAGAGAGTGGACACAGTTGGCGTGGTTTCGGGGTCTTCCCATCCTGTGCCGCTCAGGCTTCCCAAGAGGGGCTCGCTGAGGCCTCTTCCGCGTGTGTTGCACACGGGGAGAAAGGTGGCCTTTTCCTGCCATGCAGAGGTGACAGGGATCTACGGTGTTAGGACATGGGGAAAGTTACCCCCAGGGCGTTTTTGAAAAACGTGTGTTTTTAAGGTCCCTTAAGTTGTGTGTCTGTTCATTTCTCAATATGATAGAATGTTCTAGAACTTCTCAGAATAATTTTAAATTGTTTGATCACCAATATCTTTTATATTTGAAATCATATCACCCCTCTGTTCATACTCTGCAGGGGCACCCCCCACGCCAATTTCCTTCAGTAAAGGCAGCCTGGGTGGCACAAATGGTTAAGCACTCAGCTACTAACCAAAAGGCTGGTAGTTTGACTCCACCCAGAGGTGCCTCGGAAGAAAGTCCTGGTCATCTGCTTCCAGAATGTCACCCAAAACCAAAAAACAAACCCCCTGCCATCAAGTGGATTCCAATTCCTAACGACACTATAGGCCAGCGTAGAACTGGCCCACAGGGTTTCCAAGGCTGTAAATCTTTTTGAAAGCAGACGGCCACATCCTTCTCCCACAGAGCAGCTGGTGGGTTCGAACCAGCGACCTTTTGGTTAGCAGCTGAGTGCTTTTAACCACTGTGCCACCAGGGCTCCTCCAGAATGTCAGCCACTGAAACCCTAGGGGGCACAGCCTACTCTTGACACACATGGGGTTATCATGAGTGAGAATCCACTTGACTCTGAGTTTTGATTTTTTTGGTTTTTACATTGGTGGCCTATGAGCCCCACAAGGAGCCCTGGTGGCACAGTGGTTAAAGCAGTCGACTGCTAACTGAAAATCAGCGGTTCGAATCCACCAGCTGCTTCCAGGGAGAAAGATGCGGCAGTCTGCTTCTGTAAACATCTACAGCTCTGGAAACCCTATGGGGTAGTTCTACTCTGTCATATAGGGTCACCAGGAATCGGAATCAACTTGACGGCAATGGGTTTTGTTTTTTTTTTGGAATGAGCCCCACACGGCATAGCCCCCTTTTCCTTCCTAATGCCATCGCCGATTAAGTCTGTCTCTCCCTTGCTCACCGGCCCCACGTACTCTGGCCTCAGCTCCATTTCTGGAACACACCAGCTGTGCTCCTTTCTTAGGGGCAGATTTAGCCATGGAGCTATTTCCCCCTCCCCCAGTTATCCATCTCCTCGTTCCTCAGCGTCTTCAAGTCTCGGCTCAAATGTCTCCTCCCTGAGAGGTCTCCTCTCTGAGGTCCACCCTAACCACCCTGCTTAAATGGCAACCCTCCTCTCTAGCCACCACCACCTCAGCGTCCAAGCCTCTACACCCTGCGCTCCTTTTTCGCTTTTTCTCTGTATCATGTTCTGATGCTCTCTGGGCTGGGACCCCATGACTGTGAGTGCCACCAGGGTGGGATCTTTACTTGGCTTTCTCCAGAATGGATCCCAAGCATCTAGAAAGATAGCTTTCCCACAGTGGGTGGTCAGAACGATACTAATGCAACGAATGAAATCTATTGCACAGAACATTCTGTCTCTTGAGTTATCAAGACACTGAGTCACGAAATAAAGAGCTCTGAAGATTGGAGGCATGTACCACCTGTGTGTCTCCATCCCTTTTTCAGGGTCTTTTTCTGTTCTGGTTGAATACGTATTCATTTCTGGTCATTGAACACCATTTTGGTCTTCTCTTTGATAAGGACCAAGATGGACACAATAAGCTGTGAGTTTCATTTGCAGTGAGTTACCACATTTGTACACTGGCTTTAAAACTTTTGGAAGTAGCTGCAGTGAATCAAAAATCCGCAGGTCTGCTCTATCAGTTTCTAAACACCCTTGCTGGGCACTGGTGATAGAGAGAAATGGCAAAGCATTTCTACTAATAATAAAATGAAATGAAGTTACAGCCATATGTGGTGTTGAAAGTAGAAGAAAGAGAATTAGGAATACTTTAACCTGTGTGCATGCACACACGCGCGCACGCGCACACACACAATCATGCCCATTTAAGGTGACCCTTTCACGTGTATTCTTGACTCTGTCTCATTCCTAATTCTGTCATTGCCGTATAGGAAAAGAAAAATAAGAATGAGAAGCATGAACTCACCAGTTTATTTTTCCAGAAACTGTAACATTTTTCTTCTCCATCACACCAAGCAGAGAACTTGAAGTTCTCTGAAGCATAAAGATAGTACAGAAATAAATGCCCGATTTTGAATGGCGGGCCGGCACATGAGAGCAAGAAGTGCCATCATCTTTTAATATTGGATGCTTCTGGGCCTCTACCCACCGATCGTATGGTGGTGTACTATCTGCAAGGCTTTCTGTGATATCGAGGAGCCGTGGTGGCAGAGTGGTGAAGAGCTGCAGCGTGCTGCGGCTGCTAACCAAAAAGGTCAGCCGTTCGAATCCACCAGCCATTCCTTGGAAACCCTGCGGGGCAGTTCTGCTCTGTCCTGTAGAGTTGCTATGAGTTACAATCAACTCGATAGCAATGGATTTGGTTTGGTTTCTGGTGGCACAGTGGTTAAGCACTCGGCTGCTAACTGAAAGGTCAGCTGTTTGAACCCGCCAGCTGCTCCATGGGAGAAAGATGGGGCAGTCTGCTTTTGTAAAGATTACATCCTTGCAAAACCTGTGGGGCAGTTCTACTCTGTTCCATAGGGTCTCTATGAGTCGGCATCGCCTAGAGGGCAGTGGGTATGTGATCTCGGAAGAGCGCGAATATTTTTTGCACAGAGCTAAACCTTTGCGTGTTTTGCCTTTTCTGTCCCGTTGCAGACACGGGGCTGGGCGACTCCGTGTGTTCCAGCCCGAGCATCTCCAGCACCACCAGCCCCAAGCTCGACCCGCCCCCGTCTCCTCACGCCAACAGAAAGAAGCACCGGAGGAAGAAAAGTACCAGCAACTTCAAGGCCGACGGTCTCTCAGGCACCGCTGAAGGTGAGGTTCCCGGCTCCTGGGGCCTCCCCGGGTCCCAGCCTGCATTTCCAAAAAGTCACCGTTATTCTTCAGATTGGTGAAAGCCGATACTTTTTAGAACCCCAAACACACAGTCGTGGAGGTGTCTGCATGTGACTTCTGCTTGCAAGGTATCATGAGGGGCCCTCAAGGTCCTCTCGCCTTGACCCGCCTCCCGAGATGACCCCGTCTTGTCAGCCACCTGGTCTTCCAGCAGGTGTTGGCTTGTAGGTGGGATACTCATTCCCCTCGGGGCCTTGTCTTCCGTCGTGCCCACCCCGGCATCCTGGGTACAGTGTCCACTTTAGCTAGTATCCGCTTTGCGCTACTCTAATAGAGACAGTGGTCTGTCCTAGTTTAGGGATCATCTCCAGTACTGGTTGGTCTGAATTCTAATAAGACAGCTACCTCAGCTCTGGCCATATGAATCAACCCTGTGATAAACGGCTCTTCCGGCAACATCCGTCAGCTCCTTTTGTTTTGTGGGATCTGTGAATATCTCAGTTGTTGCGGTTCATCTTGATCTTTGATGGCTGAGTCCTCGGATTTTATTCTCAGTGATGACCCAGTGTGACCTTCCCCAAGCGGCTCCTCCAGGTGAGCTCCCATTGTCTTATTCCACAGTCACAGGTGGATGGTGAGCCACTGGTTGCACACACAGAACTATGTCTGCATTCATCCTGCTGCCGTCAACTCACTGCCGACTCAGAGCGACCCTGTAGGTCAGAGTAGAACTGCCCCGGAGGGTTTCCAGAAGCCTTATCTTTCACCTGCAGAGTGGCTGGTGGGTTTGAACCTCTGACTTTCCAGTTAGCAGCCGAGTGCTTAACCACTGCCACCAGAGTTGCTTATATAATGCCCAGATGTTACATATATGCATTATCAGTGGTTAAATTAGCGTGGTTATAATAAACAAGTATAAGAAATACTTGAAAGGAAAATTAAAATTTAAAACATTATTGTGGCAACGTGAAGTATTATTTGTGAGGTAGATGATAGTCATAGAGGTCTGTCTTTAGCAAGAGCTCCACATGAGCAGGAACCATCTTTATCATTGCTATCCTTCTCTCTGTTTTCTCCACGCTTTTTCGGAATACTTGTTGGGCTGGTCAGAGCTGCAAGATGCATGACTGTTGGTCATGTTAGAGAAAGTGACCTGTTTCCTTCTAACGTCCAGGAATCAGTCCGGAAGCCCACAGGGCATGCGTTAGCAGAGAAGGAAAGAACATTGATGGCGCGCCGAGTGTGTTATTTACCGTAATTCTGTGAGGTGAGCGGCGCTGTTTCCTGTGTAAGGAGGAGACCGTGGGCCAGAGCTGGACAGTAGGTGCCTGGGCTCTTGCTGAGCAGGTGTTCGAGCACCTGCTAAAAGCCCTCCTCTACTATGTTCCTTACCATATTGCCTCTGATAGACCGTGTGAAGAATAAAGTCCTCAGTTGGGACTTGTGATCGGCTGTTTACCGAGAAGTTGGCAGTTCGAACCCACCCAGCAACTCCGCAGGAGAAAGACCTGGCGATCTGCTCCCTTAAGGATTACAGCCAGGAAAACCCTATGGAGCACAGTTCTGCTGTGTCCCGTGAGGTCACTGTGAGTCGAAATCGACTCGATGGCACCTAGCAGCAAGGCTTCCTGCTGAGTAGTTTAGCCAATGAA